TACATTTTTTTTGAGTATCTAATTAATATATTTTTTAGTTTGCGCAAATACACTGCCAAAATGGTGCTGTTGGCTTCAGCCGTTTGCACCAAAACGGGAAAAACTATAGTTTCACGACAGTTTGTTGAAATGACTAAAGCGCGGATTGAAGGTTTACTGGCGGCGTTTCCTAAGCTAATGTCGACAGAAAAACGTCATATTCAACATACGTTTGTTGAGACAGATTCTGTACGATATGTATATCAACCATTGGAAAAATTATACATGTTATTAATCACTACAAAGACTAGTAACATATTAGAAGATTTGGAAACATTAAGATTATTTTCAAAAGTAGTTTTGGACTGTTGCAAGTAAATATTTGAAAACTTTATTTAAAAATGTATTTTATATTAATAATTATGTAAATAATTGTTGTTCTAGGTTAGTCGATGAGAGTGAGGTATCAAAAAAATCTTTTGATTTAATATTTGCTTTTGATGAAATTGTTGCTCTTGGTTATAGAGAGAGTGTTAATTTAGCGCAAGTAAGAACATTTGTTGAAATGGATTCTCATGAAGAGAAAATGTATCAAGCAGTACGTCAATCACAAGAGCGCGATGCTAAGGTTAAAATGCGTGAGAAAGCAAAAGAATTACAACGTCAAAGAATTGATGCTGTCAAAAAGGGAGTTCGTATGCCAACATCATCAAGCTCTTATATGTCGATGACACCAGTTGCAGATTCAATTTATGAAATAAAAGTATCCAAGCCTGAGACACCAAAATACACATCAAGCAATAAAGCTTTGAAATTAGGAGCTAAATCGAAAGATGTTGATTTGTTTGTTGATCAATTGAAATCAGAAGGTGAAAAAGTTGTTACTAACAAGACATCAACTATTTCATCAACTTCTTCAACTGTTCAAAAAGACGTTCATATTAAAAAAGAAGAACGTTTAATTGCTATTGTTGGTCGTGATGGAGGTGTTCGCAATTTTGAATTACATGGATTGATATCATTAAGAATTTCAAATGAAATTTATCAAAAAATTGTTTTACAGTTTAATTTTGAATCTGGAAATATTCCATTGCAAACTCATCCTAATATTGATAAGGAACTTTTCAAGACTAACCGTTTAATAGGTTTAAAAAATCCAACAAAACCATTTCCATTAGACTCAGAAGTAGGATTATTAAAATGGACTCTTCAGTCACAAGAAGAATCAGCTATACCACTTTCAATTAATTGTTGGCCTAGTGAAAATGGTTATGGTGGTTGTGATGTAAATATTGAGTATAATTTGGAACATGCTGACCTCGAGTTGAATAATGTTACTGTTACAGTACCATTGCCATTTGGTAATGCTCCTGTTATTCAAGAGTGCAGTGGAGTTTATAGTTATGAGCCTAAAAAAAATGTTTTAATATGGTCAGTGGCTGTAGTTGATTCGTCTAATCCAACAGGATCTATTGAATTTGAAGCACCCAAATCGATTGCCTCTGATTTTTTCCCAATTAAGGTTGATTTCATGTCTAAATCATCTTACAATAAAATTAAGCCAATGGAAATTAGACTTGTTGATGATAACACACCTGTAAAGTTTACTTCTGAGACATCTTTATACACAGGAAATTATGAAATAGTTTAAACATTATGAATATATCTTTTATGAACACTTATTAGTTATTTTATTATTATTAAAAATTCTTATATATTATACATAAACATTATAAAATGCTGTTTAAATATACATTTTTTCTTTATTATTCATTAGAATTATTTTGAGTTGCTGATAACAATAATTCTTGAATTTCTTTTAAATAAGAAATCTGTGATCGGACTGTGCTTAAATATTGAGGATATGTGAGTGAACTTAATTCCTGAGCTGGTAATGGTTCTGTTCTTGTAGGATATACCATTAGTGGTATATAGCGCTGACTGCTTATACCTTAACATCAAAATATTATTGTTATATTAGTAATTATACCTAATACTATATTTTCTTATAAATATATACATTTTTAAAGCTGATAAGTATTAAATAATAAATATATTGTAGATATAAATTTATAAATTAATAAATTATAATACTTTAATATTGTTATTAATTTTCAAGTAGGGAAGAGGAAAAGTGGTGTAAATTTCAAATGACTCAATATTGTAATCAACATAATATTGATCAAAATAACATTTTTGTAAAATTGTTAATAACTTATAAATATATACATAAATAGTACTTTTGATGTTTAGTTTTTGTTTGAGAGATTACCAAAAAACTGTAAATATTTATTAATTATCAAAATAGTTGAGTAAAAAAAAAAAAATCATAAGTATAATTTAAATTTAAAAAAATAATAAATATATATAGATAATATAATTAGTAATAGATTAATGCAAACATTTTTTTATTTTAATCTTTGAAATCAGTAAGAAAGATTTTAAAATGGTTTTTTTTTTTTTTTTTTTAATTAGCTATAAATATTTTTATATTGCTATGTATTGAATATATTAAGATTTAGCAAAGTAATAATTTTATTCAAAATTAGATTCTGAGTTGTCTGATGAATCTGTTGATTTTATGATGATTTTTTTTTTTTTATGTCTGAGTACATAATAAGTAATCAATGAAATGCTTTGATTTTTACTTAAAGAGCAGTTTTGAATATAAGATTGGACCTAGTTTGTACTTCAAAGAGGTTAAATTAGAAAATTTCAATTTTTTTTTTTTATAATTAGGCAAAATGGGGTTTTTTTACACAAATACAATTTTTAAATAATTATTTTATAACCATGGTTACTAAGCTTTAGATAGTCACCATTTAGAATTTTTTTCATTGTATATGATGGGTTTTTAAATTCAAATTTAAAATAAATTACATTATAGTGATTTTCTCAAAAACGAGTTCTACTTAAGACCTTATGTACAGTATGTACAGTAGAGCAATACCCACTTGCCTTCTACCTTTTTTATTTTGTTATCAATGATTTAATATCAATTTCTTTAAAATAGTTAATATCCCTGGAAATTAATAAGTTAATTTATATTTTAAAAATTAAATAAGGAATTATAATATGTAAGTAAAAAAAAAAATGTTATCTTGTTGGAGATACATTTTGTATGAATTAGTACAATTTACTAATACAAATAGATAATTAATTTGATATTAAATCTTCATTGATTTAGAACTTAGTACTATGGATAATTAATAATTATTTAGATTAATATTTTTGATGAGCATATCAATAGGTAGTTTTTTTATTTAAGTTTAAGTTATTTGATTCAACAAAAAATGTTTGTTTTGAATGTGATAATAAGTAACGTCTAATGTTCTAAAACCCAATTTGGAGGATATTTCTTGGCTTGGATTTAGATAATTCTAACATTGTGTGTATGAATGTATTATAAACCAAGTGACTAAAATTAGGTAGATATAGTCAATACCTGATATAGGTAACTTTTAAGTAAATTATTAAGTTTAAAAATGAGCATCAAAATTTTTAAGACTTAAATATTATATTTTTAGAAAATTTTATTGTATATATGATTGTAGATAGGTGATAATAGTAAATATAGCTAATAGTATATTCATAGAGAATCTTAGAAAGGGGGGTTTTTTTAGTTTAGGTTAATCGTTTCAACAAATTTTTGTTTTAGTCTAAGTATTTTTTTTTTTTTGTATGAATTATGAATTGGAAGAACTTATATATTATATTAAATAGGCATCTAATTACTATGTAAAAATTAGGAAAAATAGACATTATAATCTAGTTTTTCTCAGAATCTTAGGTAAAAATAACTATCTTTTTAATAACGAGTAGTTTAATCAAGATAATTTAGCAGTATACCTTGTTGTTGACATTCAATGGCAGTCTTGAGATTGTACTCAATTTGATCACAAATCGAAAAAAATTCTTCAATGGTTTTCTCAAATCGGGGCCCGGGTATTTCTACAGTTTTTAATAATCCTGTGTCTATGTAATGATTTTGTTGTAGAGTATATGAAGCTGCACGTAGCACACAACTTAATGATTCTTTGAGTTGAATCACTTGAGTTTTCACTTTTGATATATTGTCTAATTTTTCCTGTTGTTGCTGCTGTTGTTGTTGCTGCTGTTGTTGTTGTTGCTGTTGTTGTTGTTGCTGCTGCTGCTGTTGTTGTTGTTGTTGTTGCTGTTGTTGTTGCTGCTGTTGTACTTGTTGCATGGCTTGAGGAACTTGAGGTGTATTTGATGGAAATACGGGCATAGACATCTTTCAACTATTAAAATGAATTTTAATATTTGGGGAATACCTTATTTTACTTATTAAAATAATAATACTGAAATAATAATTTCAGATTAAACGTTTACAACTTTTACTATAAGCTTAAAAAAGTAAATTTTAATACAAATATTTTCAAGATGCAAAAATCAGTAATTAAAAAATATAGTTGACTGAAATTTACAGATTAATCTTCGCGACTTGGGATTTTTGACACATTATAATTAATTAATTAATGAATAATGAATAATTGGCGATTGATAATTCAGAATATTATAATCACGGCGTTATCTCTTATGATCACGATTCCGGTTCTATAAACGAGATCGTGATTCTACACATTGTTTACAACATGATAGAATAAGGTATGCGTATAAAAAGTTGCTATTATACCATGTCATTTTATCACGGTTTACAATATGTATTATGGACGTGTCACACTGATGTGACTAGGTTGGCGACCTCGGTCAAATCTAGATGATAGCGCGCTCATCAAAATATATTTCCGCAGCAAGCTCTGACGCTCTATGCCGCGGGCAGTCGCTAGTACAATTTTTGTCGGTGCTCGCCAGTCGCCAGTCACTACACTATGCGTCGAGGCTTGTGTGTCTCCCTCGTTCTCTCTTTCACTTTCTTATCAGTACTACAGCGCACTGATTGTTCGATATCATTATATATAAATATTTTATTGTATTGACACTGTAACGATCATCGTCGTTTTTAAATAATTGTCCGGGAGAATAGTTGTGGTAAAATTATGGCTGACGAATACGGAAGTATGGAAGACAATACTGGTGATATGAATACCAAATTTGGGCTGCGATTACGTGGGCGCAAAGGAGCTTTAAAAAAGAAGAACGTCTATAACGTCAAAGATCACAAATTTATACCGAGATTCTTTAAGCAACCAACTTTTTGTAGCCATTGCAAGGACTTTATATGGTAAATATTGAAAATATATATATTTTTAATTTTATTTTATTTCTATAAGTTCTTTCGATTTCCTTGTGCTTAACTGTTACTGAGAAAAATAAAGCCAAGGCTATGTAAAAAATTACCTCCGATCTATTACTATACTTTAAAACATTGTGTAAGCTAATAAATTTCAGTATTTTGAAATTGGTATGTTATTCCGCCGTAGTAACAAAATTTCATAGGTGTTGTTTTAAATAATTTGTATAAAATTCAAGTTTAACTTAGGTAATATCATGATTTATGGTAAATTATGTAATTTTTTACACATATTTTAATTATTAACTTTTAAGTTTGATAATCGAACTGGTCATTTAAGTGTTGCAATTATTTTTATTTAGTAACATTATATAGGTACTGTATTTTACTGTAAAAATGTTTAAATGTTATTGTTATGTAAATTTACTGTGTGAAAAGTGAAAACTATGTAGATAAGTTTTATGCGATATACAGAATTGTATACTTATATAATTTTAGTAATTACACATTTTGAGTCAAAATATTTATGTTTTATGAATAACATTTTTTCTATACTTCAGAGATTACATTTTTTTTAATAGGTGTAATGAAAATATATTTATTTTTTTTAAATAATAGGTAAATATATTTATTTTTTTAAATTTATTATTTTGGCTTGTTATAATAATTATTTAAGATATTTGGAAGAATATATTTTTTACGATATCTTTTTTTTATTCATTTGTATTTTTTCGTATTTATTACTTACATATTACTTAAAAGTAAACGCGGAAATACAATTGAAATAGTATTTTTGAAAAATTAAAAGGACCCATTTTCAGATTTGGTTTTTATAAATCCCGAGAAAGTTTTGGAATAATTTTTAAAGTTCTTATATTTTATACTCTTAGATACTAGTCTGAGGTTAATTACTTCCTGTAGGTACCTATTTTTGTTTTGATGGTGGGTGGGGCAAACTTTAAAATACTTATGTTTTCTCCCTTGCTATTATACTTTGTGCTTAATATATATGGCGAATAGATCAAAAATTTGTTTAAAAATGTTTATTGTATAATAATTATTTTTCACTTGTGTTATATTTTTCGAGAAAATTGAATAAAAAACTGTTAAGAGTAGCTAATAGTACCTTTATATTAGATACCTAATAAAGGTAAATGGTGTCTTCAATACTATAAATGCATAAATATTATTCTAAATACCTACGATATTATTATTCAGCAATGTTAAAAATAGTTCAAAATTTGGTTGAATATTTTTTTTTTAACTCTATGAGCTCCTTTATATTTTTAAAAATTTCATTACTTTTGGCTTTATATTAGATATACCTACTTAGGTACATGGAATTTGTTTTTAAAACATTAAACCTTAAATTTTATAAATTAAACTCTGAAGTTTTAATGAAATATACAGTTTTTATGGTTAAGTAGATAAGATTAATAATATAGATCTATGGAACTTAAGTCATAAATAATTGTTATTTGTCTATGATTCGCGAGTCGAGTATTTTCGATCATTTTTTGTGAATGTACTCGTATATAAGGGATGGCATCTCGATGCTACTAGAGGCCTAATTTTTTGAAAGTGAATATCTAGCGAGCCAATATTTTACGTTTTTTGGCGGCCATTTTAGAAACATAATACTAAACGCGAAAATAATAAAGTCAAAGCAATCAGCCAGCACGATACAACAGATACTAAATTAATAATCTATTAATTTTGTTAACTATGCTCCTATTAATAATATAATATTAAATAAGAATCCATATCTATGTTTTACGATAAACATTATATCGAATATAAAATACAAAAACATCCTAACATTTTATATTTTTATAAAGTAATTTGAAATGTAACACGAGCCAGTTAAAAATGGTACGTGGGCCGTCAGTTGCCCATCCCTGATATATATGAATATAATATGATTGATTATTTATTACAACTTTTTATCTATTTACAAATATATTTGCATTATGATGTTCAAGAAATGTCTATTGTTTAAATTATTTTAGGTACTTAATTAGTACACTGTTAATAATTTTACAATGTACATAATATTATGTAAAATCTCGAATTACTATTCTTCGTTAATTTGTAGATATACGTGTAGGTTGCAGCGTAACCAAAACTTTGGATTGGGAGGTTTCAATTTATTTTTTATGTAGTCATAAATGTTGAAAATATTATTCAAGGTTCCTAATAAGTGGTTCTTTTCCAGGTAGTTTAAAATTATACAATATATACAGTTACAATTTTTTTTAAAAAGTGTATGAAGTTCAAATGTTGATAAAATTTGTCAAACAATCATTGCAAATTATTTTGAAAGTAGTTAAAATTCATACAAATTTAATTTTAATATCTTAGACTTCAAAATGTAATACAACTTGAAAGAAAACATTTACTAAATTTTTTACAGCAATTTAAAATTACCATATATATAAAGGCATATTATACTTTTAGAGACACTTGAAGTTGAAATTTTTAGAAAATCGGATATTTATACAAAAAATAATGATATTTCCTAGTTATTATATTTTAGTTAATTTTATTTAAAAAAATATTAATGTTAGGGACTTGAATTTTTTTTATTAGTCATTACGTATATTACCTATTATTTTATATTTTATACCATGAACTCTTTTATGATACATTAATATTGATTCATAAGTTATAAGTTAATAATTATTATGTAATAATATGTAATATTCGATGATTTTGCTAAAATCGTTTAAGTTCATTTTACTGTATTACTAGTTGAAACAGACTTTTTTAGTATATTTACTAAAGCCACTGAACTTTTTATCAGTCATTGTTAATTTAGAATTAAAAATTTAAGAACTTTTTCAAGAACTTTTAATTGTTTTTAAAGAATTTAAATCTATTTAGACCGTTGGCATTTTTATTTTATTTTTAAATTTTCGTGTTAATGTTTATTTTTTTTTTTTGGTTATTAATTTCATTTGAGTATTACAATGTATTCAGCCCAAGAGATTTACCACTAAATATTTCTGCTTGATAATTTTAGAATGAAATAAGGTTTTCGGGACATGAAAGGGAGGTAGTATTAAACAAAATATACATTCTGAGAATTTTTTAACCTTTTCGTTACGCATATTCTCAATACGATTTACTTTTTCGTAAGCCTAGCAACGTTAATTTTTTTTATAGATTTAGATAAACTGTTTTTTAAACAATTTTTAAGCAAAAAATATTTTTCTTATTAAAAAATTGACGAAGTTAGAGTATGTTAATATTTAAGAATAATTAGTTGTCACCAAAATTTTAATTATTTTCATATGTCAAATATGTGAAACTAGACATTTTTATAAGACTGGGTCAAAATATTTTAAAATTGCTCCCTTCTCTCGTTAAAAAATATTAGCTATTGCAATTTTTATATTTTGAATGTTATAGAAGAACTTACCTATATTTATACAATTGATACGCTGGGCTTTGTTTTTTGTGTTAATATTTAATATATTTAAATATTAGAATTTTTTTTAATATTTAAGTCATATTGCTATAATATATTTAAGTTTACGTTGAATTCCAAGAAAATATATTAACAATAAAATTATCTAATGCCACAGCCTATTATCTGTGAGGGTACTGTAGGATACCGTGTCATCGTAACGAAAATATGGCCTGCTGATTTTAAGCATTACCGTTCTTATTCGTTTAAATAAATATGCGTATATTTGACGAAAATATATTGTAGACATCGCTCCACAATTGAACATTGTAATTGTGCCACAATTCTGTGATCCGTTTAATATACTATATATAATAATTACATATTGAATAGAAATAAAAATACCTAAAAATAATTTTCATTTGTCGATTTTGGTAAAATATTTTAAAAACCTATTATTGTTTCTTATAATTTACCAGTAATCATACTAAGTAGAAGAATTTAATATTAAACATGCCATATTATGTATTATCATATTAAATAGTGATAAAAATATCTAGGTATTTATTGTTTTCGTCACTGGAAAATAACCACAAAAACGGTATTTTAGTTTTTTTTTTTATTATAATTTTTTTTATATAATATGATGTATATTATTTATATATAATTTCTGAGGCTGATGATTTCTCGGAATTAGATTAGGCCATGGCCTGACTGGGTTGAACTATAGTTTCGACTATGAATATTTTCATTTATACTTGAAATGTATTTGATATTGTTAAATTATTGTTTATGTATTGAGAAGTTGTAAATAAACAATAATGTTTTTTAAATAACAAAAGTCTAAATAAATAAATTTGTAATGTGTTGATTCTTATAACTTAATTAGTTTATATTATTTTTTTAATCTTATTTCGAAAGTATGTATAGCTGTGATCAGTGTAAATTACGAAAATAAAGAAGTGTTAAACATATTATTATATTATTTATAAATTTAAACATTGCTTATCAATTTTATTATCAAAAATAAATAGTTTTTACTAAAATAGTTTAAAAAATAGTTATTATTTTTATATTATGTTAAAACAATCAATTTGTATTGCGTATGCGTGTATCAAAATCGCTGAAAATTTTTAAATTTTCTTAGAACGTAAATTTCAGTGCTTGAAGATCTTTTAAAAACGGTAATTTAATTTAAACTCAAAAGATGTGAATAAACGTAAATAAGGCATAAACTTTTATTACATAAATAAAATAATTGTAAATACTAATGATATATTTATGTTTTATATTTATATATATTATATGTATCAGAATGTATGTATTATACTTAATAATATTTACTATGAAGTTACAAATGCTAGAATAGTACTTGGATTAGCTTAATAAATTAAAAATATTTTTAGCTTTTCTAATAACAAACGTTTGTAGTAAATTTAAAATGTGTGTGTGTTAGTGTCTCTAATTGATATAAAACTATCACAGGTTGATTTCTACGCGAATTGTGTTATAGCACATGCGAATTAATACAATTGAATTTTGTAGTCTGTTAGCAATAATAAAATGTTTTGCTAATTAGATT